TTGAGATAGTTTGGCTAAGTGCTTTGCAATAGTGCAAAAAGCATAGATGGAATTTCTGTATTCTTAAAGATCTCGTTTTTCTGTAGGACATATTTTTTTCTATGCCTTAAGACTTTTTATTTCCAGCCATTTGAATACCGGATTGGTACATATATAAGATATTGATAAAAAATGTCTATCACCCGAACGAACTTGCTCGCCAACTCACCATAAGACAGTATGTGAGACGACTAAAACGTCACCATATTTTAGAGCTAGTAGACCGGCAGTAGCTCTAGACAGAAGATGACAGCACCACATAAATATTCGCTCATAGCCTTAGGCTGATTGCAAATAACCGCAGATTTTTTTAAAATCAATTATGCGTACATAAAATCTATATATATATATATATATATATATATATATATATATATTTCTAATATCTATATATATTATATATAATTGTTATGTTGGTTTGTGTACGCTTCAAAAACTCAAAAAGCGCACCGGCTGAAATTTTAGTAGATACACATCAAGGATTGTTTTTATGTATTTTTTTTTTTTTTTTTTTTTTTCCCACAAGTATTGCAAAATTAAACTTATATAAAATGTATTCTTTGATTTTTTTTTAATTTCTCAATCAATCAATCACAATGTGCCACAGCGAAGCGTGGCTGGGTACAGCTAGTTTTATATAAATGATCATTTTGCTTGGAAAGGTTAATGTACGAACGTACCCGGTGTTAATAAATAATCAAAATAATATTCAATATTTATATTTACAAATGAATACTCATCTTTGCAGACAAAAGTAAGGTGTAAGAGAGGCCAACGTAGGCTGGTCGTGTTAAAAGAAAGACGAACCTCTGTATCTAACGTTTCAATCAGCTTTGCGCAATCAAGGGCCAATTTGACGGTGAACCTTTCGAGTTTTATTAGGGTTGCCGACTTTTTAATAAATCACTTTAAGGCCTTATTTATATAGGATCAGAAGCTTTTATCAAAGCGTAATACTCAGCCTTATTTAAGTTCACCATTTGACGTTTGGTGCAATTAGATGAAATAATATTGGATATATCCTCCAAAACATAAGGGGCTCATATAAGCTCCATATTTTCTAACAATTTCCTGTTTTGTTCTTGTAACGTCTATTCTTGTGTGCATATAAGTAGTAAATCAATTAAAAGTCGTAAATAAACGTTTGATTGATATACACTTTTACCGTAACTATCAGTCATACAGATAATAATGAATACTGGCCAGCGGCAGCCCTATTTTCTACTCTCATTAACACGACAGCAGGTGATTAGGGCTATTGTAGGAGATATTTTATTAATTTCTTTGTTAGTTCATTGATGCCTTGTCCGATACGAGATGATTATGTTTCAAATTATATCGCTTGAGTGTTTGTTATTAATATTTTTGAATTAAAAATCAGTTCATACATGAACATGATGTATGTTTGGTTAATACTTGTTTGTGTAAGCTTAACGGTTTCGATCTGTTATAAATGGATTCTGTAAAGATTGAAAGATTTGGTTTTGACAGCTTTACAATAAAGACGATTATGTTAAACATCGAGTTATAGATGTTAACGTAACTCAAAATTTGGTTTGAACTTGTCTAGATTTTAAAATTTCTAATTCACCTAAGGTAAAATTAAATAGAACAAATATAAAAATTTACTTTAATTAAATAAATAAATATAAGTTTATAAGTCTATATTTGGTTGTTTAGTTATACCTATAAATGTTCTTAATATCCAAGATTTTTTATGGGACAAGAGGTAAACGAGCAGGCGGACACCCGCAACACCAGGAGGTATACTAGGGTATATAATCTTAATATATAGATTGAACATTCCATTGAACGAACGATAGAAATTTCTTGTGTGGAATTTGAACAATTTATAATTGTGTGTGTATACAGACCCCCTTCTGGAAGCTATGATCTGTTTGAGTCTTCCATGGAAAATGTTCTTAATATTATAAGTAAAAATAACAAAAAGATGGTTGTCTGTGGGGATTTTAATTTAAATATTTTAGTTTCTAGTACATATACAAGTAGATTTACTAATTTATTTGGGTCGTTCAATCTACAATATTCTTTCTTTGAACCAACTAGGATTACCCCCCTATCAGCTACCTGCTTGGATAACATTTTCTCTGATTGCGTTTTATATCAAAAATGTATTGTTAACTGGGTGGATTCAGATCATAGTGGACAAAAAATCATTGTTGAGCGCCATAGGGTTAAACAAGACATAAAAATTACTTTTAGGCCAATAACGGACAAACGCTTAAAGGTTTTTGAAAATAATATTAAGAATAAACTTAGGTTTCTTAAAAATTCAAATGATGCTAATGAGCAATACGAATATTTATGTCAACAAATAAACATAGAATTTGCTAGCATATTTAAACAAAAAACTGTTTCTTTAAACTCTAAAATGAAATTCTGTGACTGGGCCACACCAGGTATTTACGTTAGTAGAAGAAAATTGTATGATCTATATTATGAAAAGTCTATTTCTACTGAGCAGTCGCTTATAAACTATGTCAGAAATTATTCAAAAATATTTAAAAAAGTTTGTAATATAGCAAAGGCAAATTATTTGAGTAATAAAATAAAAAAATCGGACAATAAAATTAAGACCACTTGGAACATTATTAATCAAGAAACTGGTAAAACTTCATTTAAAGATAGCTCTTTTGAAATTAATATTAATGGCAAAATTATAAAAAAAGATGCAGCGGTCGCAAATGCTATGGAGTCCTTTTTCTCTGAAATTCCTGCAAGAATCACTAGTAAACTGAATTCATCTACGCAATTCGCGCTTTCACTTTTAACGTCTAGCACAAATAAAAATAGTAGTGCATTCGATTTTCATAAAATTAACACGGATTCTATTGTAAAGGCATTTAGATCGTTGAATAAGAAGAAAACAGAAGATCTATGGGGCATATCAGTAGCTGTAATAGCACCAATAATTGGAAATATTTCTCCTTATCTAACGATTATTTTTAATAGATGTATCGATGATGGGATTTTTCCCAATCTCATGAAATATAGTAAAATTATTCCTTTATTTAAGTCTGGAGACAAATCGGACCCCACGAATTTCCGCCCTATATCAATTTTACCAACTCTAAGTAAAATATTTGAAAAAATTATTCATAATCAATTGCTTTCACATTTTAGATTAAATAAACTATTTCATGATAGACAATTCGGTTTTACTAAGGGTAGATGTAGTACGGATGCGGGTGTGGAGCTCATGAAGCAAATATTCGATGCCTGGGAAAATAAACAGGATGCTTTAGTGTCTTCTGTGACCTGTCCAAGGCTTTTGACTGTGTAGACCATAAAACATTATTGGGAAAATTACAGTATTATGGCGTCCAGCAAACTCAATAAAAATAATAAATTCATACTTGAGTGACCGATTACAAAAAGTGGTTATAAATAAAGCAGAGTCTTTAGGAGCTCCTATTCTCATAGGGTGCCTCAGGGGTCGATATTGGGGCCGTTGCTCTTTCTTGTCTACATAAATGACCTGCCATTTTATGTAAATAACTTATGTGAAACGGTATTATTTGCAGATGATACATCTCTTATTTTTAAAATCAGTAGGAACGCAATAAATTTTGACGAGGTGAATGATGCCCTTTCCCGAGTTATGTGTTGGTTTACTTATAATAACTTGTTACTAAATTCTAATAAAACAAAATGTATTAGATTTTCTTTGCCTAACGTAAAACAGGTCAGTACAAACATTAATATTAATGAGGAAATAATTCAATGTGTTGATTCAACTGTATTTTTAGGGATCACTCTAGATTCTCGTTTGCAATGGAAGCCCCATATTAAAACCTACGTCAAGACTTAGTTCGGCTGCTTTTGCGATAAGAAAGATTAGATAGTGTCTGATGTCGAAACGGCGAGGCTGTATACTTCAGTTACTTCCATAGTGTTATGACATATGGTATATTGTTGTGGGGCTCAGCGGCCGATATTCAAGATATTTTTGTTTTACAAAAAGGCAATAGCGCATATACAAATTAAACCGCGTGACTCGCTAAGAGAATTATTTAAAGAGATTGGTATTTTAACAGTTGCCTCCCAATATGTGATGAAAATATTATGTACGTTTATAAAAACCTTAATAAATTATAAGCGCAGTGACTGTCACAATTTAAATACAAGAGTAGGAATAGACTTGATTTTCCAGCTTTCAGACTGCAAAAATGCTCACTCATTTATGGGGAATGTATACACATATTTAACAAGATTCGGACCGTGTAACCAAACTTCCGATTATGAGTTTAAGCTTTGTATCAAGAAACCCAACAAAGGGGGATATTACACTGTTCGGGAATTTATAGACGATGACAATGTGTGGGCACTAGTGCCGCTGTAGATGAGGTACCGAGTTGACATGATAAGAGTAATTGTACCTAATGTTTGACTTTATTATTATTATATTATATAATCTTAATATATAGATATAAATTATGTGTCACGTTATTTGACCGCTATGGACTCCTAAACTACTGAACCGATATCAATCAAATTTGCACACCGAGTGTAGTTTGACCTAACTTAAAAGATAGGATAGCTTACATCTCAATTTATATCCGCAATATTATTTTATTGCAAAATATTTGTTTATTATTTGATAGTCAAAATTCTAACAGATGGCGCTGTGTTGAAAGTACCAACGTTTCCCATAAGCTACAATTTAATGGCATAACCACCATAAAGCATGGTGGTCCCCATGACTGGTGTTCTCCTTCCGTTTCCCTTGAATAGTTTACTACTATGTAATATAACAAAAACCTTAGCCACAGCAACGCTTGGCCGGTCTGCTAGTAAGTAATATAAAAATAAAGCCATCATGTACAATACAGACTAACTTTAATCTACTAAAAATAGTTTTCATTTAAATAACATAAATAGATACAGGCCTAAATACTTTAAACACTATATTTAACTATAAGACCAAAACATTTACTCACAGATCCGGTTCAACATCCGTATAATGTCCATCGGCATCTACCAGACCCACTCTAATTGTAGGAAGCGTTTCATCTTCGTCATCTTCAATTTCGCCTCTTGCTTCTCTGGCTTCTCTTTCTGCGAGTGCACGTGCTGCGATAACCTGGAATTACCGTTATTGTTCAGAGGAACCCTATTGGAATAGTCACAGATAAATAATAAAGAGGTCCTTCCTAGTAGAATGTAGAGGTATGAAAAGCGAGCCTACTACTACTATCAGTGGCGCTACAACCTCTTTAGGACTGGGCCTCAGATTTCTGAATCTGTTTCGTGATCATTTTTCAATCTAATACACCTGACAATGCCTGACACACGCCGACGACTTTTTGGGTCTAAGACATGTCGGTTTCCTCACGATGTTTTCCTTCACCGTTCGAGCGAATGTTAAATGCGCACATAGAAAGTAAGTCCATTGGTCCACAGCCGGGGATCGAACCTACGACCTCAGGGATGAGTCGCACTCTGAAGTGACTAGGCCAACACTACTCACTACTACTACTACTACTACGGCGACTACTCTGTAACTGCCAATAGCGATACCGACAGCGATCCCGATTTTAATAATAGGTTTTTGTACGGTGCGAACACGTGGTTGTTTTTTTTTTCGGTCTACTTCCCTGCCATAGCGTCCAGGGACTTTTTTCCATCTCTTATATTTTTCCTTATCTTATTTTCTTGTAGACAATTTTCTTACTAAAATGATACATAAAATAAAATGATATATTCATATCTTTTGCGCGTCTCGCGAGAGGCTTCATCGGTAATATTATTATTTACAATATTAATGGGCGATCACAAGGTTGCGACATCAGTGCTACAGATATTGAGAGAACTACAGTATCGCTGTCGATATTGGAAGTTACAGAGTAAGGGCCCTGGTTTGAAGTAAGTAGGTAACCGGTGGTTCTTGCATGCTTTTAAAGATGACTAAATACAATGAAGTGATATAAGTATCACCATATCACTCAATAAAACTTACTAAACGTCGCAGGTGATTCTTTATTAGATTTTGTATTCGTAGATTGTATCTACTGTTTGGATTCAACAAGCATAATCTTACAAAATGGAGATTAGGGGTTTTATTCTTATTCGTAACTCAACACGTTGTCAAATATGTCGAACATCATACAGAAAATATGGTTAGGCAGCTCTTGAAACTAGATTTAAGTTTGATTATTTGCCTATTAAATATAAATACTAAATGTTTGTGTTTTATTATAAAAAAGTATACCTGTAGTCTTCTCTGCGCTTGCGGTGTGATTTCGACTACTCTTGACCATCTCCTTGACTTTCTCTCGTATTGCCACTTATCACTAAGCGCACATTGCTCATCGTCAGAGTCGTTCTGAAAATATAAAATACATGATACTCAACCACAATTTATTAAAAAAAAAAGGGTGCGTGTACTTATGTACGCGCGTAAGAAGTCTTTCTTCTTTGGCATTATTAAAAATAGTTTTTGATTGCATGCAAATAATTAATTACAATTAAATAATCAACGACTGGAAAAGGAGTCATTATAGTCAATATAGTTCAGTTTACATTTGAAAAATTAAATAAATAAATATTTATTATTATTCTCTTACATTAAGTGTAACATAAATTCTATTATTATTTGATGAATGTTGTTTTTAAATTATGTTCAATGCCGTAGCATCTTCCGTGGGCAACTTCATTCTGTTAATTTTGAGTCACGGTGCGCGCGCATCGTAAAATTTCACTCTCATCAATTTTTCATAACGCGCCTAAAGAAGTATAACTTCGAAAACTGATTGAAATAAAGTCCAATCTAAAATATTTAACATTTAAATACACTGAGCGTGTCATAAACAGTGATAATAGCAATATACGACAGTTAATATTATAGCGAATACATTTGTCCCTTCAATAATACATATTTCCTATGAATAACTTAATTAAGTTAGAGATCAACTTATATTTGTCGGCCTTTGGAATATCGCCATAGTTCGCATCGTCTCGGCAGTGCCGTTGCTCTATTGTGCTAAAACTATTTTCCGTCTAGATTACCTAGATTTTGCGGCACGTGAATGGCATCTACATTTCATATTCAGTATTGTGGATTGTTGGTATATTGAATTGTATGAAATCCAAGAAATATCGTTTAAATGTGATGCAATATAAGATATTATAGGTGTACTGTAATCATTAGAACCCGTTGCAAGGTATCTACGGCTGTTATTAGTCTTTTTCGATTTAATATTAAATTCGAGAACAATTTTTAAAACAAATATTTACAAAGGGTGTGTTATAGTATATCCTCATGTAGTAATAATTTGTTTGTGTAAATATTGGATGCATCATTTGATTAGTATACAAATGTATGATAGTGAAATTAAAAACGATTATATAACATTTTCGCAATCAATGAGGAAGAGTTTAAAATTAATCTTCGGAATAGTTTCGGGTCATTGAATAAAGTTTGGACATAATTCGCTTAGTTGAAAATCAATCAATTTTGATCCGTTGTTTGCCCCTAGGCACAATAATCAGATTATTATTAACAAGCTTATTCAGAAGCTATCCGAAATGTCATTGGCGTTGAATCAATCCATTCATTAGATTAAGTTCTCGGTTGTTGAAGGTCGAGTGATTTTGTATTGGCGAAATATAGAGAACTGTGGAATTACAAATGGGTCATCTTATAGATGTAGATCAAAGACAATTTAGGGCCGAATCAGTTGCTTATTATAGCACTTATTTAGAATTAATTAGCTCGACTATAATTATGACTAATATCAAAACAACATTAAGCTGTTCTTAGCGTTTCATAATTCGTGGAATTTGTAGGTATTTTCTTGAATTCATTATCTAAGTGCCCATTAACTAATCGAAACATAATACTCAGGATTGAAATTAAAAGCGGTGCAAAAACACTATAATACGTACGATAGCTTAAGCTTAATAAAACTCTTCTGGGAAATCAGTGGGAGGCTAATGAAATCGTGGAAAGACAGCTTGATTGAAGTGACAGCTTACTTCGGTTTAGAAAAACCTCACCAAGACGGGAATTAAAAATTGTATTCCATTGAACGTTCGCAGTTTTGATTTACGTGATTTCAATGAATTGAGGCTCTTAAAGGCCGGTCTATGAAGTTTAAAATCAGTTTTATCAGTCGCATTATTTAGTATAGTTCTCTGGTTCTTACGTTTTATTAACTAAAGTAATTTTATAATTATAGTTATTAAACGCGTCTTGATTTGATAAGTGCTTTTTCAATTTTAGTTTGACTTATAATATTCGGATAATTAAATAAGTATTGATATTAAACATTAATTTTTATTACAATTCAGGAAAATTTTTATAATCGTGAGAAGGTATATATTAATTAAATCTGCATTGGTTATGTTTTTAAGATAAAATAGAAAACAAAATTTTCTTTTAAAAAAGAATTAATTTTCAAACTGGTGGACAAAAGTCATTCTCTTGTCAAAGCTTGTTAGCATAAACAAGGCGTGGACTGATCCGTTTAATCTTATTTTTCGCTGAGATCAATTTGTTAGGATGACAAGTCAGATGCAATGATATCATGGATAGTTAGACCCTAAAGGTGTTAAGACTTTTTAAGGATTTGAGATCCTAGCTACTGGCCATTGTGGCTTTGCTAAGATGCAATAAATATTCCTAACTAAACCCAAGTCCATCACGGTAATTCAATTTATATATGAAATAAATTTATTTAAAAAATTGCTATTAGGACTATACCATATTCTTCTAACATGTAGCTTAATAATTAGGACAAAAATAGTAATAGAAACCAGTAAAAAGTAAATTTGTGAACACTGTTGTCAATGATAGTCGCAGCACTATAAATCATCAAAATAAATAGCAATTTCTTATCGACTGTACGTACAGTGCGCCTCAAATGACTCGACGTAATCATGAAATTATTCGAAGGTAATTGCAAAATTAGTATTTAATCCCGTCCGGAGTTCAATGACTTTAGGAATAATGACCCGATGGCAAGTGATGGATTATGTGCTGTTTATTGTTTTTGTCGGCTTGTAGAGGTTTGGTAAGGTACCATCTGTTTTTAATTATTTCTGAATTACATTTTTTGAGATGAGTTTTAATTAGGTTCGCGTTGTTTTACGGTCGAATGACCTGTGACATTGAATGTTATGGAAAGTGTTTTTTATTTTGTCTTAAGCTTATTAAATTAGTATAGCTTTATTTAGGTATTAAAGCTATAAACATAGGAATTAAGTAAACTTTTTTTTATCTAATTTGAGTTACAAAATTTTTTAGGATTCAATAAATCACCATTAAGTATGATTTACAATAATGTATCTTTTTGTGTTTATTTATGTGCATTTCCGGCCTTTACCAATTCTTAAAAGGCTGGCTCGTGCTCGTATCTTGAAGGGCCCTAAGTCTAATTGGACCGGAAATACTTAAATTTTATTGTTCATAATGAAAAGTCATGTCTTGAAAAGTCACACACACACCTTCACAACCCTCTTAATGTCCAGACTCCAGATACAATAGTATTTACATCTTGTGAAACATTAATAGTAAAACTAGTAAATTTTCGCATTAAGCTATCTATATAAGTTACAGAGCAGTGTTGGACTCTCATCCCTGAGGCCGTAGGTTCGATCCCCGGCTGTGCACCAATGGATTAACATTCGCTCGAACGGTGAAGGAAAACATCGTGGGGAAACCGACATGTCTTCGACCCAAAAAGTCGTCGGCGTGTGTCAGGCTCTGGAGGCTGATCACCTACTTGCCTATTAGATTGAAAAATGATTATGAAACAGATTCAGAAATCTGAGGCCCAGACCTAGAGCTTGTAGCGCCACTGATTTATTTTTTATAAGGTCACAGGGGTTGTCAACGTTGGTATTTATAATAAATTGTTTTACTAATTACAGCTCTACAAAGGCCGCCTTTGTTAAAAAAACACCATTGACCTCACCTTATTGTCGAAACAATACATTCGAGCCGGCGGCGACAACTTTCAAAGAATTTGAAAATTAACATCTCATCTTATATATCGTTATCGTAAATTATGCAAATAGGGTTTTGTATCGTGATTACCGTCTGAATAATGACCCTGCTGACACCTGAGTGTACGTGATAGGCCAGGTGTGGCAAACCTTTCCTTTTGCTGCTAATTCCGCATATAATTTGTATAAAAAGACCATGTAGTAATTTCTATTCAGAAGGAAGAACAATGTACAAAGTTACGACTTAAAGTTCTTGTTTGAGAATGCTAATCCTTTGTACAAAATTACTTGTTTCGAAACTTAGTTAATAGTAGAAAATTATTTCTTTAGCCGATGAAAAGAAAATAATCTTAACACTTGAACAAAATTGAACTTTTACGTTGTAAAAAGATTAATTCGTATTTTTGAAGTTATTTATTTATAGTACTTATTTTTATTAAACCTAAAGCATTGTAACGGAACTCTTGTTTCACAAAAAGTTTTAAATTTGGTTAGCAGCCCTGACAAAGGGCCGTTTAAAATTGTTTCTGAATAAACAAAATGACTTCACACTTTCTTTAACAAAATTATAATTTATTGTAAAAGAAAGCGAAAGCGGCCACATCTAACAGTGTAGAATTTATTACTATAGCAATATTGCTCTTGCTGTGGTCTTGCTATTTTAGAAAAATTCTATATTTATTAATAAAAACTTTTAACTTAATTACTCATTTGTCACTTTTTATCATATGGTAAACACAATTCGGCAGAAAGAGACGCAAGAGTATCGAATGGAGTATAAATAAAAGTATCGATGAACGTACATATAATTCTGAAATATATGGAAATGCCGTTTTAAAATATTAGTTTCCTTATAATACTGACATAGTTTAATCTTCCAGTAATGTTATTAACAGCGAAGCTTGACATTTAGGCTACTAGATAGGTTATTACCTCAGAGATTGAACGATGGTGATGCTATTACTTCATTATGGTAAATGGTTGGTCACGCTTGAGATCGGCTTATGGCTATTCACATAAAGCGCGCTCCGTATTAAGTGAAATATATATGTACATATTTGGTAACGTTTTTAGCCCTAATCCATTGTCCCCTATAAAATATATTAACACAACTTATACACAAGGCGACAAGGCATGCTACGGTGGGTCATAGAGATATTATATATAATACAACATATCAAATAAAATACATTTATTCGGGATTATTTAAATAAAAAAAATATGATCATTATGATTATATCAACTTATGATCATATCATCAAAATATGGAATCTTTTTGAGCATTGGCAAAAATTGTTTTGATTAGAGTAAAGAGATTAATTTAATATTACGTAATACGTTATAGTACAATACAAGTACAGAAAGTATTTTTAAATAACGCTCATGTAAATATTATCCGCATCTCATGTGAATAGCCTTAACCTTTATTGTAGCAATCAAGCTTTAAAATATCGTAATAAATACGTATCAGCGTAATCTGGGAATGTCAGTCGGTTCATAAAACCTCTTTGTTAAGAATTAGTTTGTTATGCTTACTTGTAACCATTTGTTTTTACTGCGCGTGAGAAATGCGAATGTTTTCCTGTTATAGATCTAGTTTTATTTCAGAAAGGAATCATATAACACAATTGCATTAGTATAGTATACCAATTAATTAATTAATTTAAATTTGGAACGCGAGCAATATAAAATATTTATATTTAAGTTCGCTTTGGAAAAACATGGTCTTGGCCTACGTCATGCACGATAATCCAACGTAATCAAGAGACAACGCAGACATGAGAGAATTAATTTTATTAATAGCTCGGGCGTACTCTATCTTCGTCAAAGTTCCAATTCAATTAAGCACGGGTAAATCAATTCACAGTCTACCTGTGATTAATTGTATTTGCCCCTGTCAGAACACCGTACATGCTGTTTGACCAGTGGGTTTACAGGATGCACTCGTAGTGTTAGCTTAGCTGAACAATGCCAATTATGTGTCTCATATGGGACTAGGATATGCATGAGGCTTACGGATCAATTGATGACGTAATTGCCCATTTCTTCTTTTTCACAATTTTTTATTAACTGTGAAACTCTCCCGTACGATCTTAACCACTCTTCCAGCCACCAGCCCGTCTCTTTTTTTATTGAAGAGGGGACCTGACCTAAGTGATACCACTGCTCTTTTCTTGAAGGACACTAAGTCGAATTGGTCTCGTTCCATGCTAATTTAACTTTTGCAAATAATTTCACGTATGAAGTTACTAAGTACTTTTTAATAATTTGGGAACACGTGTCTAACATTTAAATTCCAATACACAATTAATTTGTGACTAAAAACTAGAATGTTTCAGACAAAATTGAAAAAGATCAAATACGGAAAGCGCTTTTCAGACCTCAAAAGTTGTGTTAAATATAATTTAATTAAACATACATAATCAATCAAAATAAAGGTAGGCTTTATAATCAAAGCTTAATGTAATCAATGAAACCGCTTAATAAAAGGTGATTATGTAAAAAGCGATTGAAAACAGAAAGTTGGAATCGATTTCATTCCTATATCAGTTTTCACTGGAAGCGATTACGATTAGTTCATGCTGTGTTTACTACTAGAATTGAATGGTATGGGTGTATAATGTTTAGTTCATTAAAGCAGAGGTAGTGAATTTTCATTGGGACCTTTGCTTAGTTACTTTCTATGTTTATTGAATGAATGCTACTTAAACCATAATTATTTGTCCAGATATAAACTCACTAAAAATGTGTTCGTTTTATGGATTATGCAAGCCGAATTGGATTTCGATTTTGCCTTCTTACTACAAATTTTAGTATGACTCTGAAGTTTCATAAACTATAACAGAACTCTTAGAAGCACTGTGAAATACAGTGTTTTATACACCCATTCATATACTTATACATTCACGTATACTTGAGGTCTTATATGACTTTTGTTTGATTAGATGTAACACTAAGACTACGTTTCTTAAAAAAAAAATTAAAAGATGCACCATGTACCACGGAATAATCTAGTTACCCACAATACAGGGGCTCTCTAGTGTGGTGGATTGCATTGGATCAATTATGACACAACCATATTTCTGTCATGAATAAAGTTTTATTATTGTTATTGTCTCAGTAAATTACATTTGATATATCAATAATATTACGTATCGAAATTTTTACACGACCTCGGCATTTATACCAGTCACCTGATAAATGGTTGCATCAATAATGTTATTTTTTACACTACATCTTATCATGTCTTGATGTTATCAATAGTAATAAACAAGATAATTTTTTCTACATATTTACATTATTTCATATTGACATAAGATATTTATGCAATATATCAATCAAATCAAAACCCCAAGCCTCTGAAAAAAATATATTAATCTTTCGAAGAACAATGTTTTTTTTTTATAAATCACATAGGAATTCAAAATTTTAATGATGTTGTGTTTACATCTTGTATTAAAAACGTCATTTGATATTATTAAATGATTTACTAAACAAATTCCGATATGACTTGAAATTTCAAAAAAAAATTGTCCCAAAAGCAGACCGATAGGTTTTACGGATTATATTATTCGCGAACACACTTTCTTTCTACATCTATTAATTAGATAAACTAATACTAGAGAACCGGCTCAGCCAGTGGAAATTACAAGTGTAAAGGAAGCATAGAGATGTCATTAAATGTGGAGTTTAGATAGCAAAGCCGTAAATGTACAATTTTATTCCATTTATCTGCGAGCTTTTAGCAAATGTTTGCGATCATTGAGTGCTAAAGAAACTTGCTAACGAGTATTGGGAGGTATTGAATTTATTTTAATGAAATACTTCAATTATGTCCGCTATTATTCGTATAGTGTGTATTACGCAGAAGTTTTTAAAGGATTTAATTGTATTATTAGATATATAACCTTTTCAATGACACCCATAATTATTATAAAAACTTATTCGTTAAAACAATTACGATGACAGTACCTAGTTTTATTCTCTTTCCGCCAAATTGTGCTAACGTCACGTTGTTATGAACACAATATTTAGCATGATGACGTTAGCCGTAATTTATCATTTTACTTACCGATCTCTTTTGATGGTGATGATGCTCCAATTTCATGTTGGCGCATCTGTTGAGTGCAGTTAGGCGCCTGAAGAGTGACTGTAGAGAGTCTGCATCTAGGAAGGGGTGGTCGTTTTGAACACCTGAGACGTCGATGGGGAATTGGAGGTCTGAAAAACAAACAAATATTTCTTTAATAATAATCACTATAATATACCACAGTTTATAATATTTTGGTAATATTAACGCCGCTATATAGCAACTGTTTCGAAACTTTGAGGTGAAATTCGGACAATAATCAAAGATATTTTTTTTTAAATTAAAGTTCCTTCGCACGCAAAAATTGTTGGTGGGTACGCACCGAAACAGCTACCACAAGCCTTTTACATATATGTACAGTGTACATGTGTTTGTAAAAGGTAAACAATTGTACAGTTTAATTATTTTGTTGAACGTAGGATGTTGGGCTGATTACGTTTGAAGTCCCGTAAACCCCCCTAATACAATCAAAATATACATTTCTGCATGTCAACTGACCAAAATAATGTTTTCCATGTGAATTGGATCGAGGACAACGTTTAAGATGACAAGTGATGTACCAGTCTCGACTATCTATTAACTACTTATTAATGGAGAATATTATAATGGAAGCGTAACAAGGGTGGCATAGTATCTAGCGTAACATTTCCATAAACAATATTTATAGAAAACTGGAATTTAAAAAGTACATAGAATATAATAATTTAATATTCTTGTGGCAAGAAATTATGTGTTATTTTTTTGGATTGAGCTGGGGGGGGGGGGGCGCGCGGTTTAGCCACTAACGCATAGTTGTCATAGCCACTTAACACTTTGTTACTCTGCACTGCTGTAATAATTGTAAGACTATGCGAAAACCGCGTGTGGCTTGAAAATAACTAACAACAGTTTGTACTAAACGTAAGAGCTTCCTAAACAGTTGCCCAACTTAATAATGGCACTCTTTGACATAAACTAATTAGGCAACGCCATAATCGGGTTCAACAACAACAATCTTGTTGGTGTAAATCTGATTTAAAATTGGGATGTTGCCCAGAATTAGGTTTTAGCAAACGACTATAATTCATTGTTTTAAGGCGCTCAGTACCATTTAAATTGCTATACTAAAATCATATGATATTTTATATTTAAAGTTAATTTATATTTAGCTTAAATATTTTTTTCATAATATTAAATTATATTTGTTACTCTTATCGTATCCATTTTTTACGGCATAAAAGTCAATATTTTAAGAAAACCCTTGCTATGCATTAATCTTCTTTTTTAAACCACAGTATCTCCGTTGAAGAGTTAAGAAAACTATTAAGCTGCGACAGCAAGTGGGGCATCGAAGCTTGCTGACGCTTGATTGTACTAGCAGAATACAGTAACGTGATTTCCGTCCCCCATATAACGCAGTATTTCTCCCCTGTAACGCGGAGATTTATCAAGTTATTTCCCTTTTATAATGATTTGTCAAGTCTATAATTAGATTTGCGAAACTTTGCACCTATTTCAATTATTTTATTATAAAATAAACTACATAACTTTATTAAATTGTTTTACGAGAATACTCCTACAACGCGGCCCGGGTCTATTGCGTTATAGGGGAGACTACTGTACATAGGAAAAAGGTTATGTTTCCGGGATTGGTGATAACAATTATTGTCCGGAATGTACCAACAGTCTCTTAAAATCTTCTAGCAAGTATGCGCTTTCCGACTCGTTAGTTAAATCCCTACGGAGTCAATATGAAATTTAAATATCAAGTTTTAAAAAGAGCAAAGTTTATTTGCACGCAAATTACAAATAAAATTATTAGATCTACATTTCTTTGAAAGCTTATGCTAAAGAAAATACTCAATTAGAAAAGTTGAGAAACTTGTTAGATAAAAGGAAGCAAATCGTTTGAATTAGTCAGCTCAATGAATAGAGAACAAGACTTTAAGTAACATGTTTATTGTTAAGTAATTGTAGACAAAAATAGTCTAATAAAAACTGCTAACTATAGCAAGATATTAAGAGAGCATTGTTTGCGAATGCCATGATTTCGATCCCAGGCTGTGCATTATTGTCCACCATTGTGAGTAAACTGTTGCCCTACGATTTGGTTGTTCTTCAATAACCAAAAACTCAAAATTGAAATCGAAATCACCATTATTAAAATCACTATTGCGCTAAATCTTAGAATGAATATGTTTGTCACTTAGCTAAACTATAATAGTCTGGAATTAATTATTTAAACTAAACTATAACATTGTGTAGGTACATATCTCTATACTAATATAAGCTTATTGTTTTCGTAATGTTCGTAGCGTCCTATAATGCATTTGAATAGCCAAAAATATAGACGTAATGCAGTAAATATGTTACGCAAAAAACTGGGCGAGCACAATGTATTATTTTAATACTGTCATCACATGGGCATTGTTTGATAGCAATACAATAATGTCACTCCTAAAACCCTCATACATCATCTTCACAATACCAGGGACATTTCATTATGTTATTGTACAATGCTGGACATGTTTTATCTATTGGTCTAATCAAGTTAAATGTAATACAAATATACTATATGATGCAAATTTTAATAAAACAAAAGAAAAAATATTTTAATTACACTAAGATTTGACTTAATTTTGTAAAATACATTATATATAGTTGATTTAAATATTATAATATGGCTTTAACACTACCGGGCCTGTTTCATTAACATCGTTTTATATTATGTTCCCGCGGTAATTGTATAAAACACGCAAAGACATGGTTACTAGAAAGTAGTAATTACTTAAATTTTTTATTAAAAATGAATTATCAAGAAAAAACACAATGTATAACAGAAGTCTATTGAGTAATTTACGTTTAACTTTTTTGCTAATAAAAAATACGTCTATGAAATTTAACATTGTGTAATAAAAGTTCAAACAGTCCCTATTAAAGCGCTGATATTTTGGGAAATATTTAGAGGCAAGAATTAGTCTAAAGCCAGAATGATGTACGTAAGTCATACTTAATTGCTTTATCATTGTTTCACCATTAATTGAAACTTGAAAGAACATTTAACAACATTCGCTGCTCAAATAATTATTATTTCCAGTATTGTGGTTAATACAGAATAATTGGGGAACTCCAGAAGAGATTTGTTGCGGTTGTGGCAATAAATTAATTGAAGTTTAATTTATTCGCAAGATTTAGCTTTAAATCTCCATAATTAGCGACAGCTCCATAAGTAAAGTATTTATTCAGGCACTATTATAGGTGCGACTTTTAATATCGTTGTTACCCGGATATTTTGTGTAGTAATTGTAAATATTTTATTGAGTCGCATGATAATAATGAAAAAAAAATAATAATACAGATTTAAAAGTCTTTATTTTGAAAACACCTTTATGAGGTCTTTCAATACATAAATGTATATATTATAAAATCGAAGTGCAAGTCTAATTTCGTAGCACCGCTACGAAGTGAGTCTACCCTGCTTATGTACGGACGTAAATATGTCTACACGAATATTATAATATATTTAAAATTAATTCTAGTGTAATAAAATAATTCTAGTGTAGTTACATAATCTAGCAAAATATTAGGAGAAATAGAAATCTCTCGTGAGCAGATAGCCTTTTAACCTTTAATTTTTCTTTATTAAATAAGTTACAACATATTATCACTGTATGTGATAACTATACACATAAAAATTGAGTAAAATATATTTGATATAATTCAGTTAAAGCTGATAAAAAATATTTCATATAATTTTTCTGCATAGAATAAAAAACAAAGCAAGCAAAAATTGAGTCGACATGTTAATTTCCTCGATGCCATAGCGGTTGAAAGCCTTCTAATTAGTGCACAGCGTACATATGTATTGATTTGATCCAATTCACTGGCCCCATATTTTTCAATAGCCTACTTTATATAGGTAGGTAAATTGCATTCTAATAATGTAGGTACTTTAGATTTTTATTTAACAAAGAATGCCGTTATTTATAGGATTTTATTTGGAATGTATGTTGGCATAAACTTTGCATAGAGAGTATAAAAGTTAAGAAACCATTTTTTTCCTATATCCTATAGAAACAGTTAGGGTCAAGCAAACACGGTCGGTCGGCTGTATTTATGCCAAAAACAGTTCATTTGTTTTGCTTCGATTTTTTTATTCAATAGGAGGCAGTGACTGCACTGTAATTTAGTAGTTTACTTGTGCTAATAAACTGTTATTGATAAAAATTATTTTCAATTAAATTATCCTATGTAAGACGAAGAAGTAAAAAAGTAAAGTTAAAATAGGTAACTTATTAAACTAATTTCATAAGATATAAATTGATATTAAAAGAAGTCTGGCACATGAAATATATGTTGCACAGTTTATTGGAACTTCGACCCTCGAATTATCAGAATTTCATATTATGGAGATCTTTCAGTCGACGACATCTGTTTGAATTGTCTATACTCTGTGAAGTATATATATTTCTAGTTGCAGGGCTGGGTGAATGTGTATATATGGGTATAATAGGAAATAATTACTTTTAATACAATTGTAGTACCGATTAAATGCATTAATATACATAGGTATTACATTTTTATCAAAGCAATAAAAAAATAGATTACTGTCATGCTATAAAGTCTGCGTCAGTTTCAAGTTTACGCGAGTAGGTCATCATCATATTCACACATATTAGGTAGATTAGGTCACATTAAAATAAAACTTTCAATCCAATAAAGTAGTTTTAATAACACCATTTGTATGTATACATATGTGTTAATGTTATAAAAGTGTCGTAGCTGTGCATCAGCCCTGCCATTTTTGTCCCTGAAACTTTTAAGTGAAAGTAACTTTTTTCGTTCAACACCGAAGTTTTATTCGATTTCAGAAAAACAAAGATTTAACTTGCTACATTGAAACATTTCAAACATACGTTTCATCATATATTTCTTAAGTAAAATGGGAATCACGGGTCATTCAAGGTACAGGCATATATTGAATTATACGTATATCACAATAATACAAAACAAAAGTGATCTACAACCAAAGATTTATACGGCTTTTGTTGCGAGACATAATATGCAAGAGTTATCTTTAGTGGATTTACAAGCGTTATGGCGTAAAACAATTTGTGAATAATTAATCAAACAATCCATAATTTAAAATATTTTTATACGTCAGTCACGTGACACGAAACGGTCATATATAAGACGATGACATAGCATGCTTGTAAATAATATGTTTTCTCCTGTCTAATTCTCATACCGTCATGGAGTTTAATTTAAGACTGCTTTGAACGAAATATTTGTGTAAGTTAAGAATACTTAACACCTAAAAACCTTGACTTTTGTTTGCATGGTACGTTATAGGAACTGGACGCCATCTTGCCTAGACAAGCGTTGTGGCGGGTTCTTGAAATTATAATTGAATTAAAAACTATAAATTTTGAATTTTTAAAGCACATAGTTAACGTCTTGTCTAGTGACTAATGAATTTTGTTTTTTTTTAATCTTATCAATTAGCCTATTTTTCTATAAAAGAGAACAGCAGTCGTCTAAGTAATGGCAACTGCATAATTGTGTTACTAGTAAAGTAAATTTCCAATCGTACGTTTATTAAACATTTTCATATAACCAAAAAGTCAAATGAATAGCTCGGCTAGTTCATATTGCATTGAAACACGACAAAGGCTATTTCAAAAACTTTATGAAAATCTATTTTCGCCCGTGTTTCCGGTTTTCCAATTACCTACTCCACACTGCGAAAACAATTAGTTATGACATTCACAAATACGAACATTGTTCTAAACTTTCAAACATTTTACGCCAAAATAAATTCCAGAGGCTCTTTTGCAGAAGCATTCGTTTGTTAAAATTAAAAATAATTTTGTTTTCAGCCTTCGTTTGTTAAAATTAAAAATAATTTTGTTTCAATCTTCTGTAATTAGTGATTATTTTAGCTTCGGAAAGGAAAGGGTATCTGGCTCATCCATGGTCACAAATGGCACTTGCGATTTATTCGTATAGAACATATTTTATATTACAAGCAAATGCATGAAAACAGAAAATATAGAGAGCAGTTCTTAACAAAAATTATTTTCTTTAGCGGCTAAGTTTTTATTTGCTATGTTACTTTTGAGAGTTTGCTACTAATAAAACATTTAATTTGTAGAGTATAATCTAATTTATTAAAAAATATCCTCATAACAGTTCACTGTAGGCGATAATGGACAATATTTGAACAAATGTCGAGCGAAGGTCAAGATCATAATAATCTTAAACATTACACTTTAATATTTGTTTTGTTAATCAAATTTAAATGCCATTAACAAACGATTGTATTGCTTTGATGACGTAATAGTATTTAAATCGGAAACCTTTTTGACAGGAAAAGTAAATGAATAAAAAAAATATAGTAGGCAGGACAAAGCCAAGATTTCATATCTTTTTTGTCAATAAATAACAACAATCTAGATGTGAAGTGACTTCCAAAAAATAGCTTAATACCCCGAATTTAATTATATTATCGATGAATACTTTTATTTCTTTTGACCAAGCAATAGAATTAAGAAATATACCTATATGTATATACTTTTTACTACATTTTGGAGTCGATTCAATTTGAAAAACAAAAGAATTTATATACATATACATATAATTCAAGTGTAAAAAGTAATCCTAGATTCATGTTTTTCAATGAAACGCAATACATACAATATTTTAAAAGCCCTCTAGCATTGTGTCCATGGGCGGCGGTATTACTTAACATCAGATGAGCATCCTGTCCGTTTACCCCTGTTCTAATAAAAAAAACACTGAACATTTTGTTTCGTATTCGAAACACAATTTTTGCAAATCCCTCAATTTGCCTGAGCGTTTAGGATGAAAGCTTGGACGCTCTCGGCCGTGCGATATGGTTCAGCAAACACGGGTTAAAATTAACTAACAATATACTGCTTCATTCAGGCTTTTCAGGGGTCATTTAAAATATAATACATATTTATTAAGTGTAAAGGTTAATATTTGAGTATGTACACAGAATTACCGATAGATTTTTGCTTAAGTAAGGAAGAAATTGGCCGATGAAAAAAAACCCTTTA